GATGAGAGGGAGGATGGAGGGATATGAGTAGCAGAGAGTGAAGTGAAAGTACGCCAGCGTTGGGAGTTAGGAAGTGGTACATATGAAGTAGGAGGAAGGAGAACAGGAAAGTGGTCACTATAGGGAAAGTGGTCTAGAACTGACCAATGGAAATCTAAATGAAGAGAAGGGGAACACAGAAAGAGGTCAGTGCATGTATCAAAGTGTGTGGGGCGATCTGAATTTAGAATAATAAGGTCAGCTGTAGAGAGGAAGCGCTCTAGAGATCGGCCACGGGAGTTGATGATAGAATCACCCCAAAGAGTGTGGCGGCAGTTAAAATCACCTACTATGAGGAAAGGTGGTTGAAGTTGGGAAATTAGATTTTCAAAAGCAACAAAGTCAATGGGGTGGGATGGGGAGAGGTAGACTGAAATCACTGTGATCCAGCGACGAAGAAAGATGTCAATAACTGTGCAAGGGGCAGTGGTTTGAAAGGGAGGTATGACATAAGGTGTTTTCTGGTTAATAAGTATGGACGAGACATAAAGGGAGTGTGGGAAGAGACAAAATGGTAATTGGGGATTGGTATAGGAGGAAGTGTAAGAAAAGTCTCTTGGAGGCTTATAATGAATGGGTTATAAGGGGAAAGGATATGACGAAGGTCGGGTCTGTGAGAGCGGAAGCAAGTACGTGTTGTGTTGTGAGGGGGTAGGAGGATAGACTGTAGGGGGGATATGAGTAGGAGGAGGATGGATATCGGCAGTCACTTTGAGTGTGGAGGGAGCGGGAGTTGTAGAATTCGAAGGTGGATGAGGGGTTTTAGTGTCAGTTTGGGACTCGAGTAGATAGTTTTGAATATCTTCAAGAATTTTTGTAATGGAGTTGGTTGGAAGTTTTGTGAGACAAAGGTTTTCTTGTGAGGGGGGGGGGGGGGGGAAGAGAAGACTGGTGTCTGAAGAGTAGGGGCAAAGGAAGGTGGAGGTGATTGTGTGGTAGGGGAAGAGGGGGTGGAACATTTAGTCTGTCTGTTGCGGGTAGTGCGGGGAGGGAGAAGGGAAGGTGTTGGGGCTGTAGCAGAGATTGAAGTGTCTGGATTTAGGATGGCAAAAGAATTTGGTGGGGAAGGTAGGAGGTATAAGAAGGGAAGTTAGATGGAGGAGGGGTAGGTTTAGGAGAGGGTGTAGGAGTCTGGGAGGTAGGGGGAGTGGCAGAGTGAGCGACATTACTGGAGTAGGGAGTGAGAGAAAAACCTCGTCGACGTGCTTCCTGTCTGGAGTGAGTCTAAGTCTGAATCTGAGAGTTGCTACCTCAGACTCATATTTATAGGTGGGGCATCCCTTATAAAATACATTATGGAGGCCGCCACAGTTGGCACATATATGTGTTTGTGCAGAGCAGTTTGATCGAGTATGGCCAGGTTGGGCACATAGCAGGCCTCTGGCTGTGGAACGGCAATGTTTGGCTGGATGTCCTAAACGCCAATAATTTTGGCACTGACGAGGAGGTTGATATGGTCGGACAGGGAGGGATTCTCCACCTATGTAAACATTAAAGGGGAGGTCATGTCTATGGAAAGTAATTTTGGCAATGTTAGTGAGGTGACTTTCTTACGATGCCCTCTGGGAGGAATGGAGTAGCATTGTACTGATGTCGCACCACAGTCCGTGAGACAGGCGAGTAAGTCTTCTCCACAATCTGACCAACTTTTGTTATAGATAGGGCAATTTGTTGGGGAGATAGAAACAGTTATATTCTACCAATCACACTCTATGTTACAAACAGCCTCAGGTCTTTACTTCATTCATAAAAATACTATATACTCTCTGTTTACATCAATGTTGTGCCAGATGTACAAAAGTGGGACCCAGCATGTGTACTGAAATATAATTCCACAATTGTACATGTACTACATGCCCGGAAATGGGTTAAGCTCTAACCTGTCATATTTAGGTTTAACCCATTGCCAACGGGCATGGCATGTACGTGCATGCCATGCCTACTGTGAGTTTACTTGTTTAATTGTTTTAACACACAGATGGCTACTCCTGTACTAAATCGCCAGTTATGAGTACTGCCTGTCCCGCCCGTTTACCCTTTTCATTGATTTACGAAAATATTTTACATTATCTTATTTTTCTGTTACTAATGTTTATAACGTTATAGTAATTATAATGTTTATAATAAAGATAACACTATCAATATTCATAACACTAGTTAAAAATATGTTTTTCCTGCCAATTGAAGGAAAGGTGAAATCAGATAAGCACATTTTCCCCATTTTTTATTCATTTTCCCTGGTGGCAAAGGGTTAAAATATGAAAAAAAAATCCTCTTTTGGTCTTTGGTAGGGGGTAGCTGCAACCACCCACCCCCTTTTTGAAATATATAGCATTATTGCTGTGTGTAATATATGTTTTTGTGTACGCATTGTGTGTGTATTCCCAAAGTGTCTGTTTCTCTCTTATAGGTCCCAGTACTTCTACTGGAGATGGTTCAGAAGAGAGCAGCTCGAAGAAAGAGAAGAAACAGAAGAAATAGCTTAACATATATGCAATAAGCATATTTGCATTGTGCCTTTAATTTAGAAGGATTATATGCTTCTTCTCATTTTATAATATACCTGAAAACTGAACCTATTACAGCTCTAATTCTTAGCACAATAAATTGGCTGTATTACAAAGTTTTGTAGCGAGTATCCACCTTTTTTAGAATCTTACATTTCCATGACAGCAACTGCCATGAATGTTTTGTGACACTAGAAAGTAAATTGATATAACTGTTTTTACTCTGAGCATTTTTTTCACTACAGACTAACCATATAAATATATTGCTAGTTTGTTATACACAGTGAAATAATGAATAAATAAACTATTTTTCCCCACACATACAAAATTTGTTCTTAACATAAATAGCACAAAATAGAAAAAAGTGATTAACACAATACCAATCTACTGCCTAATGTGAGTCGTTTTTTTCCATTACTGCTTTTCTTTTTCCATTCAGTAGAAATACTTCCACAGCAATTAGTATGTACCAAATATGTGTGCACACTGGTGTGTGTGTGTCCGTACAACAAAAAAGTAATGTATATTACTGAAATTTGCCATGGCATTATTTTTCCTAGTAAACAACTTTAGCAAAATCATGGAAATAAACATTTTACTTTATAAAAGGAGTCCTTCTTTTTCCTTATGTGTACAAGGGAAATTAAAATGGCTGTGTGTGTGTGTGCCCGTGCGAGCTTGTGCCAGAAATCTGCTTTCGATTTATTATGACCCAAAGTCATAAACCATATATTTTTTCATCTTCATTTACCGTTACTCTGTACCGATTAATTAAATTGAGCATGTATTTCGTTCACCTAAAAAACCCTTGCTTTTTATTTCTCATATATCCTATACATTGCATTGACATGAATATCAATGTTCCTAAATATTTTGTTTATTGATTTATTTTTCATTTCATTTGATGGATTTTGAATCTCTCTCGTCATATTATTTTCGCTATAGGAGATTTGAATTAATAAAAATGAAGTATTTTGTTTGGGTTTATTTACATATAAAGAAAAAAATCTGTAAAAATGACTTGGTCTATTCTAAAATATTTCCGCCTCAGTTATTACACTGAAGAACATATAAAATTCTGAGGCAGCAGTATAAAGAATACAGTGGAGCAATGAAATAACAAAGCACGTAACCTCCCCCAGCTTTGAGGTGACTAGGACTGCGGAGGCCGTGAGCTGAAAAAAACGTCTCACCTAACACCCAACAAGTATGAATAGTATGTAAATAAGTTAAAAAAAACTATATAAGTAAACTTTCAAAACCTGTAACATTTTTGGACGGACGTAAAAGCGAGATCATTGATCAACCTTCAGAATCATCTTGGTTCTCTTCATTAATTTCCTGCGATTGTTGACGCCCGTGGGTCAACACTTCGTCCTGACACTGCTGTTGTCGCGACTCCTGTGTTAGGTTCTCTTCCTGGCGTCCTGGCAACATATGCAGGCCATGCTGGCGCTCATGCAGGGCCTTCATGATGCGTTGTTGCTCTTCGCGATCCAGTATCACTTGGTGTTGCGTTTGACGATCTTGTTGAGGGTTGTGGTAATACAAATGCTGCTGTTGCTGATGATGGTGCTGATGCTGATGGTGGTGGAGGTGGTGGTGCTGTTGCTGCTGTTGATGGTTCATGACGTGGGCGCGTGCGGGCTGTTGATGTTGAGGAAGCTGATGCTGAAGACGACTTTGTTGGTGATGGTGGTCAAAGGGAATACCATGGTACATCTGGCTAGGCTCATGTTTCGGGTGAATGTAAGAGCCATGGGGGTGCGTGACCTGCTCGTCGAGGTACGCAGCCTCCTGGGGATGGTCCTCCGGTAGGTACTCGGCCAGACTGGGGTTGTAGCCAGTGCCTTGAACAGGAACGTCGGTTCCTGCTAACTGCTCAGGGCGTGACGTCAGGATGAGTCGGCCCGCCTCACGCAAGGCGATGGCGCGGACGTCAAGGAGTCGGAGAAGGATCTTGGCGAGGGCGTTTGGCTTCGAGCGCCGCTTGTCCAGTTCGTATTCCTGCAGGGCGCGGAGGTGGGCGTCATGCTGCTCCTCTAAAGCCTCCAGGGCATCGGAGTCGCCAGGGAGACGGTCGGGGAGAGTGGTCACTATGCCACACAGCAGCGACAGCTGTTGACGAGCGAGAGTTGCATTAATACCATGCTCATACCGAAACCACTGGTGTTACACACACACTATTTAAATTACAACTGATCCACAGATGCATATTTACCTCAGTATCATCAATGCTCATGTATAGAAGGAACGTGGCCAATCGAACCAGTTTCTGGGCTAGCGAGCGCCCCAGCGCCTCTACGACCGCTGCTAGTGGAACCAGAAGTCCTCCGGGAACAGCGAACCCCTTGTGCTCGGGGACGAACCGTGAAGCCAGCCTAAGGATCTAGAAGAGAATGGAAGTTTAAGCCATTTGTGACGTTAAAGAAGTCACCAAAGAGGAATAAAAGTCTATATCAGGTTTAAATTTGTATAAGGCTTCCTAAAACGAACCATAACTTCTGGCACAGCCTGGTTGAGGACTGTCTGCTGGTCGACCGGGGAAAGGCTGGCGATACCCGGCACCATCATGGCGAATTGCTGCGCTCTCGTACGCCCTTCCACGCCCACGTCTGCCTCGGCCGCCCATAGACTCGCCTCGGTAAGCTGTTGGGCGTGACATGCGGGCGAGAAGGTGGCGTGGTGTGCACTGGTAAGGTTGTGAATGAGGTCATCGCTAGGCTGAGAGATTGGGCTGCTCTGGTCACCCCCGTCGGGGATGGGACGCTTTCGACCACGCTTCGGGATCGTGTTAACTGTGGGAAGATTATAGAAAATAAATAAAAAGAAAATACACAGCAAATATAAGCATAATAAATATTTACAAGCATTACAATCGTTACTATGAACACGCCGTCTGCTCCTGACTCTCGACAATACTCACCATCTTTAGCCATGCCTGCGCGAAGGCAGCCTTGGAATCGACAAGCCTGACAGCGCGTGCGTGACTCCCTAGTCACTTCACACTGGTAGTTCCTCGGGCAAACCAAACGAGTGTTCCGTGACGTCACACGCCTGAAGAAACCCTGTGGAGCAGAAGCCGTGTGTTGAGAGATGCTGAGATTTCCTTTTACCGAATCCTAAAAGGTGATACTAACAAGTCCTGTGTCACATACAAATATTTATGAGATAAATAAACAAGAAATGTAGGAATGGAACAATCTTTCCTTACCTTACACCCTTCGCAAGCATGGACCCGGTAATGTACACCCGAGGCCTTGTCGCCACACACTGCACAGGGAATAACGGCGTCCTCCTCCACGCGGCGCCTCTTACTACCGGGCTTCGGGGCCTCGTCCAGCGCCTTCTTCTCTGCCTGCCCGGTAGGACACGGAGCCACGACGTCCTAAATGAGAGATTCTTTCTTAGCGTGGGTACTTTATGCATTTTGCTATCTAACACGAATTTCACTTGCGCAGAGCATTTACTCCTAAACGGACATACGAATATAAAAAATATACGAAACATACCTGCGAACATCCCTCAGGAACCTGCGTCTCGTGTTCGGGTATGTCCCCGGCCACGATTTCGTGGCCGGGTGCCGCCCACTCCTGTCTGTAGCCTCCCGCGGGACCATTGGCTTCGAGGGGCGTCACCGGACTGAAATTCACGTAGGCCTGGCCCTCCTGCGGATGTAGGCGAGTCGCCGGAGTCGCTCCTGGGAGATGCGGGGAGTTGAAACTATCGTAACCGCTTTCAAGGCTGGGGGGGCGAGTCATACCGCAATTGGGGGAGGAGGAACCTGTCGAGAACATGTCGGGTAATTAGTGGTGTTTCAGTGACTATAAATAAACGCTAGTGTAAACCAGTTACTTATTCGTCTAAACAATCAATCCCCATAGCAGCCAATCACCATATTAAAACAAAAATCCAAACTATACCTCTATAAATCACAACGAATGGAATACTGTACAAGCATACAAGTATACCATAATACTACTCACGTTTCACCGGGGTATTGAAAGGGTGAGGATATTGCACGTGTTGCAAATGCGGTGTCAGATGCTGTGGTTGTTGATCTTGCAGATGTGGTTGAATTGGCCCAACCGCTGACTGACGGAGTCCCCAGCTATCCATCTGGACCGAAAAGTGAAATTAATTAAACGTGTATCCTACGACAAATCAAATTATACGACATAATTTGATTATTAAAATCGGCAACATCCAAACAACAAGTGAACTCACCACCATATTTGGATTGCTCCTAGCGTATGCATGGTGGGGCAGCGTCCACGGGTCATGTAAGCCCGGGTGGAGGGCATGAGCGGGCGGCCCGGGCCATCCTGCGCCCGGAGGATCGCCCATCTCAGCCAGGGTGCGGGCGGTCATGAGGGAGTGGATGCTGAAGTCGGAGAAACGAGGTCCGTGTAGCTCCAT